AGATCAACAAACACAAGCATCTGTGTCTTCTGGATCAGCTGCATTTACACAGGAGGTTATTGGGGAACTAATCACCAATTTAATAGAATTTCAGCTGTTAAAATTTAGTTCTTCTCTAAAATAGACCAGTGGCTGTAACGACAAACTGTGAAAGCAGCACAGAGTGAGTAGCCTGAGGCTGATGTGTTGTGTTCTCCAGTCTAAAAGGTCAACAACACCAACACTAGCTTTAAAGAGGCATCTCAGTGGAAGTGCTGCCTTCATCTACACAACACTGGAGCTTCACTGCTCGACTACACAACGGCTCCAGAGAAATGATGAAGGTTTCAACAGAGTGCATCCGAGTGGCACATTGCATAATTTAATATCATAATCTGAATCAACTCTGAAATGAAACTGCAAATCATTCTCTACAGTTTCCACTTGTGAGGACGTGGTGACAGTCTGTTTTAGAGGTTATGTTGGTCAGACAGCTCAAGCTAAACTTCACTACTGTCAGATATTTTAAAGATTTTAAATGATGACGCCAATAATCCAGACAAAAATTGTCTGAGTAATTTCAAGTGGAAGTAAGTATTAGTTACATCTTCCAATATCTTACACTCACACTGTACTCCTGGGCATGGAGAGAACATCAAGACAACTTATCTTAACCATTAACCATTGTTTGCACAGCATTCCTAAACCCCTTAATCACCCAGTCAGTAGGTTCTATACTGTTTGTCATGTCGTCATTTCCCCAAACTGCTGAGACATTTTAAGCTCATACAAGACGCCAACGGGGACTGAGCTGTGGTTTACTAATCTGGCCATGCAGCAAAGCCACCATCTTCTTCCCCGTGCACTGATAACTTCCGCTGTTTGACTACTTCCTCACAAACATCCTCTCACAACAGACAAGGTAAACTCCACTAGGGTTTTTTTTAACCCTGAGTTTGACTTGTTTGCACAACTCAGACATTTTATAGACTTGAAGGCAGCGTGTCTCAGTGAGGCTGATACTGCTGAAGCTCTGAGTCAAACTCAGCAAGTCATAAATGGGTTAAACCATTTCCTCAGAGAGGGGGATTCCCAGCCCCACATGCTGAGTGTGGTCTTACCCCAGTTTTCAAAGCTCCTTCTGCTTTAACTTCAAGTTTTCCCCTTGACCTCCTACCGTTTAATGGAACCAAACACCATTTCTTCATTCAGTCAAGTGTACTGGTGATGTTAAGCACTTTGCTTTCTTTTCAATTCATATCTTGTAATAAAATCACCAATTTTCCACGTGGTACACGCACATTTCCTAGCAAACTAACTTTCATAAGAGGAAAATATTCACCCAATGATGTATAGGCTACACATTAAGATGAGTTACACCGTCTCCAGATGTGTTTTCTATTGCATTTACTATTTTTGAACAAGTCGGAATAAAGCTGATCAACATGCAAATATCAAGCAAAAAGGATGGAAATGATGGAAAATGGGTGAAAGTGAAACCGTACTGCCAGACATTTTCACCACAAGGTTTCAGAACACAATCACAGAATAACCTTTTTAACGGTGTGGCCCCCAGCTTGATGTCCAGACTGTGAAGGACACACCTAGGTCCAACACTTTGTTTCTTTTTACCAACAAAATAAAAATGGCTTCTCTGTATTTCCTCATTTTTCTGTTTCTCCACCTCTCTCTGACCCATAACCCCCCTCCTGTTCATTTTTCCATCCCAACAGCTGTTGTCGGTGCACACAGCTTCAACAAGCGTCGGTCCGTCACACTCTGCAGCTATTCGCTGGCCTGGGAAGCCCAACCAATCAGCAAGTGCACATGTGCAGACCCCAACACACATGCACATGTTTTTGGGTCAGATGTTTGCAAGGCAGGCGGGGGGGGAGGGTTCATCCGTTCATCCTCACTCAAATTTGCAGAGCACATATGATTATGATTCACTGAATCCTGAGGAACTAAACTCAAAATGTCAAGGTTAATTTGGGATCTGAGGCATCTGAGCATTTCCACAACTGCTTGTCCACTGATTTATTGAAGCATTTACAGCCACTGCCGTCCGCCCCCGAGCCACACACACAAAAAAACACACACACACACAAATAAAACAAAAAAAGACCAAACACACCCACACAGCCATCACTGTGCCTAATTATGAGAAGGCCCTCGGCTGTGCACGCCATGAGGTTACACCAGAGCAAGCGCTCAGAGGCTCCCTCTAAGCCCACCTCATTGTCCATGACTATAAAATCGGACTCAAAGTGACGCTCATCTCAGAGGTGGAATCGCTGAACGCTACTGGTCACTTGTGTAATGCTCAGAGGCAGAATGGGAGACAGACCGTGAGATTGTTCTGTGGACACACACTCTAGTGCACACATGTAAAATAAACCTGCAAGATCACGTCTTCCCTGAAACATGTCACGTCATGCCAAAGGTTTGTATCAACACACTCGTGCAGAGTGACTGCAACTCATGGCCTTGGAAAACACAGAGTCTTGATGTGCGTGAGCGTACAGCTGAGTGCCATCCATACCCAGAGGATTCACCGTCAACATTTTATGACCTAATTCTGCTGCAGCCTTCCTCAGACTCCACTTTGAGGCCCAAAATGGCTGCTCATCTATACTTGATGATCCTCTGCTTGACATGTTAGTTATTTTGTGTTTTCTTGACCATACTGCATAGCAGTGCCAGGTTTATGTGACACAAGTAAAATAAAGCTTAGAATATACTTATTGCATGCATCATCTGCCCTTGTCCAGGGTTCACTAGTGCAGTACAAACTTTATGACTGTACGTCACTGTACAACAACATATGTGTGAACACATCTGCTGACACAGAAACCCAAAGGCAGCATGAACAGCATCATGTTGACATTAAATCTTTGGCTCCAATTTGAACCCTGTCAGGGCCTTAAAGCAGCGGTTACACTCGGCGCATTGAAAACTAAGTATGCAAACTGTGATGTCGACAGAGAGACAAAACAGTCTATACTCACGCTCGAGGCGCGCTCACCGACTGTATATAAAAGCTGGACAAACCCACCGTGATGTAACCCACTGGTTTTCTGAAGCTCCACTGTTGCCATATTGACAGTGGTTCCCTCTGCCTGCGACATCTAATCCAAAAATGAACAAAGAGCCGGAGCATGAGTGGAGCTGAGGTGGGATGAATGGGCAAAATGAAGCTAGCCACCAGCGGCCAGGCCCTTCTGTCAATCACTCAAAGCAGCCAAGACATTGGTTATGCATAACTTTTAGTCTCAATATAATTTAAATGGGTAAGTTATAAAATAAAATTCACCCCCATACAGTTGTCATGGAAGGGCAAATCAGCTAAAGAGACCAAAACCGTTTTTTATACCAGGCTGTAAACATGTTTATTTCTGCTGTCAAGTTGGGCGTTTTAACATGGGCGTCTATGGGGACTGACTTTATTTTGGACCAAGCCTCAAGCTGCCGTTCGAGGAACCACAGGTTTTGGCACTTCTGCATAGGCATCACTGGCCTCGGAGGTTGCCGCTTGGCCATGGTTAATTCACTGCAGTATTCCCCTAAACAATAGGTGGAATAGCTGCTGGAATAGCAGTAGAAGTGAATGTCTGTGGTAGACAATGTGTTGTAGCTAGCTAGCTAGCCTTCTACCTAGCTAGCACACCAAACCATACAAGTCTGTACAGGGTTGAATGAATGTCTGGAGAAATGGACCTGCCCACACACTCTTGTCCTTGGCTCGTCCATTTCCTACTTTTCCAGCCTTGTGCCATGGCTCGAACACGCCACGTTACATAGATCGAGAGGTGCATGAAATGACACCAACGTACACCGTTCAGAAAGCTTTGTCAGTTCCTCATCTTGTTGCTCTCCACTTGTGCGTTCCCATGGTGAAGTGACACCCACCTCTGGCTCTGCTACACTAACGCAGCCTTCAGTGTCACATGGCAGTTGGTATATCTTCGGCATAACCAGCAAAATCATCCAAGCTATTTAAAACGAACACTAAAGGCTTATTGGGTGTTGAGCATGGATTTGGACTGAGACTGCTGCAATGCCACACAGAGGAGAAGAAGAAGAAGAAGCACATAGTCATAAGTGAGAGCTCGTCACAGCTGAACACAGCTCTGACTTGCAGCTTATAGTAGGCAGAGGCCTGCAAGCAGGGTTGGTGTGAATGGCTGCAGGTCTAAACCAGGGGAATATTACCTATTGCTGCTCTCTGTCTCACATGACATAGATCCCAGCAGGTCACTTGGTGCCCAATACAAAAGCTTTGCTAAAGAACATATTCAAAATAAAAACAGCTGTAATTTCAAAGCCAAACAGCAGAAGCCTGGTCAGACTCTGCCTCTCCCCTTTCCTCTAATCTAGTTTCTACCAGGCAACAGCAGGATGGTGTCGCTGCTCCTCCCGGATGGAGCGGAGGAGCGGAGGAGCGGGGGCACCAGGTTTCCACCAAATACCTTTTCCACTATGTGTTTGTGTGTGATGGGATGAACGGGCCAATCCCCATGAATGCAGCACTCCAGCAAGAGCCTGCTGGGCAATGCTGTGCACAAATGCGCAATGAAACACCGCCCATCCAATGGCGCACAAGTCGGTCAGCGTGGTACAGGCTGTCGTGCACGGATAGGGCTGGTCTGATGGGCGCAAAGCAACGCGTGCGGTGTGCAAGGAAGAGGGCAATTTACTGCGGCATGGACGAGGAGACGAGGAGGAGGAGGAGGGACCTCTTCGAGACCAAAATAGCCTGGGATGATGTTTGCATCGCTCAAAAAAAATAAACTATATGAAACAAACAAACAAACAAACAAAGACCATGAGAAGCAGCAAGAGGCCCAGTGCTGAGAGAGAGAAACCAATCCGGATCGCACCGGTACCAAGTGACAGACGGGAGGGGACAGGTCCTAAAAGACGTGTTCCTGAGTGCGTGAGAGAGGAAAATGAAGTGGATAAATGCACGTTTGTCTTCTCGGTTAGGGCTTTGACTGTCACAGATGGAGGCGCACACCAACCTTGTAGACTTGTCCATAGGTTCCGTTTCCGACCACTTCTACCAACTCGAAAATCCCGGCAGGATCCTGGATAAATACACAAGATGAAGAGAAATTGACTTAGAATTAATGCCCTGTTACAATCGGGTTCGTTCGGCGCACACGCCGGCAGCGCCCGGCTGGCTGGCCTCCCATACCAGCGGATATCAGACAAAGAAAAGCCATCGCAGGGCTGTGTCAACAACTTTACTTCTTACTATACGGTAACATTTCTGTCTATAAATACGAGCAAACAATGTGCACTACACCAACGTGTATGTGACACACACTCACCCTGAGGGATGCCAGGTCTATATCCACCAGACTTTTGGCCGGAGAGTCGTTCGCCATTTTCGTAAGAAACGGTGATATGCAAGCGGAATATCGGCGTGTTGTCTTCCTTCAAGCCGACGGCGTGTGTCTCATCCTCGGTGGTTTTATTGTTAGTCCCGCTGGTGATATTTTCAGTCCAAGGCGCGTTTTCCCCACTTTGTACCGCCAGGAGAAGCTCCACCGCCGCTACATACCGACCTACTGCCGGAGACCTGCCTGCTCTCCCTCTCCCTGTCGGTGTGGATGTCTCTCTGCCGGCTTTCTCCGCCCTTTCTCTCTCGCAGTGTGTCCGTCTCCCTCCCTCCATCCATCCTCCGCCCCTCTCCTGTCTCTCCACCAGAGACAGCCCAAGAGTTTTGAGGGTCCTGAGCAGATTGTGATTGCCCCCTCACACCCAACAGTTTCCCTCTAAAATAGATTTATAGCTTGTAGACTTTATGTTGGACTGACCTGATGAAAATAAAACTTTCCTTGGTTATGGGAAAGTTAATTAGGCTAAACTTAATCAACTTATTCATACAATAAGTTCCAAGTAACTATAATAAGTAAGTGTCCTCTCGTTTACCATTTCCTTTTCTATCATTCATTTGTATCCTGCTGTTCTACTGGAGAGTGTGACGTCAGACAGTCCTATGTCCTGTCCATCTTACCTGTCAGCTGCTCATGTTGGCTAGAAAAACACCAGGCGCCACATGCTCATAACATGGCACAGAGATTCATTCAGATGTTTTCAGTCATCTCAATAGGTCGGTCACATTTTTATCTAATTTCACTTAGTAGCTGTCTGGAACTCTGAGGGCAGTGCTGGGTTGTCAGTAGGTCCAACACTTCAGTCCAGAAACTTTGGTGACTCCTGGCATTTTCCAGCGCCATCACAAGGTTTAGCATTTTATCTGTTGCATGAAATATCTTGCCAGCTGTGGGGAAGATTCCTGTGAAACACGTTAGTAACATTCAAGATCTCCAGATGGTAAATTCAGATGACTCTGGTGAACAAAGATACTGTACATGGGAAATGTAAACCATCACAGCATGTGAGAACATCAGTCACAAACAGTGTCAGCTGTGATAAAAGTCAAAATAAGCATATGGGGGTTTGGACATTTGAAACGTAAAATGTCACAGCTAGAAGTTTTGACGAGATTCAAACTGTCTGACCAACTTTCAGTGACCCATTTGCTTCTCTTCACTTTATCCATCTGTGCTGTAAAGTGCAGAGCTTTAAAATATTTGGTGTTTTTCTCCAACGTTCTCAACGTCTTTTAAATGTGCTGTCGCTCTGGCTTCATGATTATCAGTACTGCTTTACATACCGTATGTGTACAAACCCATGTAAACCTGGTCTAATCATTTTTATTGGATCATTATCCTCTTGAAAAGAAAACGTGGTTGTCCCATTTGACAACAGCACACAAGAGCATGAACGCATGATCTGATAATAATGCCTTCATATAACTTGCCTGATGAAACCTGAAATGCATTTTTATGCTTTATGTTAAATCTACTAGACAATAACTGCTGCCCTGCAACTTGTGCTGTGGTCTGTACTCTTGTACCTTTGACGTGTTATCCATAGCAGGATGTTTCAAGGATTTCAGGCTGGATGGCCATCTATGTAAATGACCGAGATGATTCTAGACCTGGAAAATACAGTGTCCAGAGTGGATCAACTCTCTGGAGTAACCCAGCACAGCTCAGTCAGTGTTGTTTTCATTAATGAACCTGTCTGTGCCAAAACAAAACATTATTGCTGTGCCTTATGTTTACAGGCAGGCATGTACACATTACATCTACATCTACATCCGAGTGTGCATGGTTGTGTGCGTGTTTGGAGCAAACACAGTTTTTATGAACTGCTTTTTCTTTTATGCTCAACTCAACACCTGCTGGACTAAGATGTGTGTGTATGAGTAAAACAAAGGAGGTGAGTGAAGAGCTTCATCAGTATCCGGTGAAGCGGGTTTGTCACCACATCACACTCTATATTAAAAAAGGGATTAAGATGAACCAGTTCTTCCTTAGAAGCCTCTACCCTGCAATGTAATTGTTTCCATGTCTGGTCCAGTATGTAAGTCCACTCAGCACCAGACCTTGTGTCCAGGTAATCTGTAAATTTCAGTTATTTCAGCCTCCTCTGTCCACACAGACGAGATTTGTTCTTGCTTGCAGCAGTTGGCACTGAGGTGATGGTCGGTTAAGGGGCTTACATGTGTGTATCCTTGCAAAAGGAGAAATTACTCTGCTAGAAGACCAAGAAAGGATTTTGACTATAAACCACACGTTGTGGTTTCTCTTCCGTCTCTTGTATGAACCCAGTAACTCAGCACCCCCAATTAAGATCACCTGAGCTTTGTTTGTTTGTTTGTTTAAGAAACCTCCCAATTCGCTTTACCTAGCAACTCACACTGTGCAGCTTCTATAAAACAGCTTCAGTGGCACAGCCTGAGAGGAGACTACACCCCAGTCAGGAAAGTGAGCAGCTCATCAGTCTCCTGCTCACCAGCATGTGATGGGTTGGTGCACTGACAGTCCATGTCAAACTTCCCAAGCCTCGTTCCTGCTCTCAGACTTGACGTTTCAAAGCCGGTAGGAAAACTGCATGGTCCTTGTGTGACTATGTGATGTACCTGCCCACCATATCAACACATGCTGTCCATTTCTCATCCTGTTACAATATCTTCTAATAGCCACTATATTAGAACACCTGTCTGAACAGGTTTCAGTTGTGTAAGGTTATTGTGTAATAAAATGAATAAAACAGATCTGAAGCAGTTTTGTTACATTTCTGAAAGACCAGTCTTTTTATCAAATTGTTTTTAAAAACCAAACCTAGGAGGGAAACAACTCCATGTCCACAGACAGGTAACTTCCTCAGGATCAGACACACTGGGCAGATCTGATTCCTGACACTAGCATGTAACAGACATCTCTCCAGCTCACAGACCAAACTCCGCTGTCAGGCTGCCAATGAGCCAGTCACACTGTTGATTATCTATCAAGTGGTGAAGGAACAGTTCCAAATTAACAAAATACTGACGAGCATCAAGTTAAGCTATCATTAAGCTGGTCTAATAAACTTTTGTGTGTTGTCTCTACACACCTCCATTCATGTGAGCATGATTATTCACCCAACATAAAAGACAATAAATCAAAGAAAGCAGTGCTGTCTTAAGGCTACAGTATGTAACTTAAGGTAGCACTAGCATTAAAGCTCCACTAACAAGCGTTCCCTGCTCCAATACGCTCCAACCAGCTCTTCAGATATTTGTTATGAAATCGCAAGAAATGAGACTGCAACAAAACTTATTGATCTAGCAGAAATAATTGGAAGCATCTGATTGGTTAGAGAACCTCTTAGAAGCCAATATCTCTGCACTGCTGTTCAATACGTCTGGGTCACAGGAGGCTTCGACAGCACCTCTCCTCACAGTCCACAGACACGTTCTGAAGCAGATTTCTTCGTCTCCTTTTGGACACTTTGACATGTGGACTGGAGGTACCGAGATTTGAACCTCTGACCGGGCGACGACTGCTCTACCCACTGAACCACAGTCGTCTCCTTTTGGACACTTTGACATGTGGACTGGAGGTACCGAGATTTGAACCTCTGACCGGGCGACGACTGCTCTACCCACTGAACCACAGTCGTCTCCTTTTGGACACTTTGACATGTGGACTGGAGGTACCGAGATTTGAACCTCTGACCGGGCGACGACTGCTCTACCCACTGAACCACAGTCGTCTCCTTTTGGACACTTTGACATGTGGACTGGAGGTACCGAGATTTGAACCTCTGACCGGGCGACGACTGCTCTACCCACTGAACCACAGTCGTCTCCTTTTGGACACTTTGACATGTGGACTGGAGGTACCGAGATTTGAACCTCTGACCGGGCGACGACTGCTCTACCCACTGAACCACAGTCGTCCCCTTTTGGACACTTACTGCAGCTTTAATTTTAAATATGAAACAGCTGCTACAAAACAACAGCTAGTGACAAAACTGTTTTTTTTTTCTTTATTTGTGATAAAAAATATGTTTAAATAGGTTTCTTTACAAATATAGCAGGAAAGTGCAGCACATTGTGAACCCCAACCCCCTGAGGGGGAGTGGAGTCACACACATTTGGAAGGACAGAATTAAACAGGGAAACAGTGCATTTACACACACACACGCACGCACGCACGCACAAGGACATGCACAAACAAGTAATGCAATTACAGCTCTCCTATGAAGACAACTTACCCAGCTTAGAGTTAAGCATTATGTGTCTGCTCTTCATTCTTGGGGTCACTGTGGCCTGTAAGTACTTGATTTCATTGTACGACCTGCAGATGGTTAAATCTATGCCATCAGCAGTACATCAACACCGGTCATCGCTCCAGACACAGGAGTTTTCTTAAAGACACAGTGAGGTAGACATTCAGTGGTTCACATCAAAACAAACTATGGTGAAAATCTGATGTTTTGAAAATGTTGAAACCTTCATGGTTTACATCAGCTGATAACTTTAAATAAATCAGAATGTGAATCTGGGTTATGGGTCATTGGTCTGCAACAACTGACCAATTTTCTTCAAAGTATCCTTTAGGGTTTTTGAACACTAGTAGCGCTAAGGAGACAAAACCTTCCTGCTGTTTTAATGCTCAGCAGTTGTTCGTGCTGAGCGCCAAGACATACGACACCACGCCACTAGGGGAAGGGAAGAGAGAAGGAACTATCCAAATTTGAAGCTTAAAAAAATAAAATCAGCTTTACAAGAAAGGAAGTTTACTCAGTATGATTGACAGGGCGTCAGGAAAACGCAGTGTTTTGGTGAGTGCTGAATATAAACAACTGTTTACAAGAAAACTCCACAAGGAAGCTTCAAGAACTGTAAGTGTATTACAGTGTGCATGTAAATGTTCTGAGAGAGAGACAAAGGGTGAAATACTCCTCAAATAAAACTTGAAAAGGCCTCAGAGTTACACTGATATACATGTAAATCACCCAAATTAAGATTCCACCATACACATACACTTAAGGACAAAGCAGAAAGAGAACAAATAAAGACAAATACAACCCCTGTAGGCGACGTCCCCGAGATATGCTACAATGGGGCATAAAGTTCCAGATCAGTTGCATCTGGGAGGCTGCATCTGCATCTGCATTTGATTAAATGCAACTAGACTTTGTGCGATAGCCCAACTTTAAGTCTCACTTGATCGCCTTTCGAAACGAGCAGAGCAAGTTGCTGTACAGTTGCACGGCAGTCTGAGGTATTTTAGTGTATGCATGGGGATCATCACAATCCCATCTCAACACGTTGTAGACTAGACACACATGGAGCCCAGTACTTCCTATCACACAATCTGAGGTCGTGTCCCCTGCCGGGTGTGGCAGCAAAGGAGAAAGCTCGTTTTTTGCACATGGATTTTGGCTCGTGTCAGGAAGATTTAGTGCGAGAAGCTGTTGTCTGTGCACGTTGGCACACGGACTCAACCTCACTTTAGGGAGCAGAAGTGGGGAGCAAAAAAAAAAAAAAACCCATCCACATACTACACCCACATCAGTACCTTCACTTTCATGTATTGCCGTTATGCCGAATGTTCCTGTTTCATACAATTAGCAGGCGAGTTCTGTTCTGCTTCTCGACTGGTACAAAGTGTCACAGCTGTGGACGTCTCTGTGGCAGGCCAACTGTTGGACTTATGTGAAATACTGCTTAGTATATATAGGAAAAATGAATTCCTCTTGAGCCTGATGCTTTCCTGCTCACTCTGCTTTTGTGCCAACAGTTTTTTGTTCCTTCATAGCTAAGAGTCAGGCGATAACCCAGAGGAGTCCTGAATGGAATCAGCTCAGCTCAAATGGTTTTAACTGGGCTTCAACAGATAACCAGAGGTAAAAGCCCACTTGTTCAGAGACATGTTATAGATTCATTCATCCAATGAGAAGACGCAGGTGAGTGAATAGGTGGATGAACTGACAGCACCCCGGCCCACTTCAACAGGACTGATGTGTGTGCTGACAGGAAGGTGTTTGTGAGCGTCTGAGAGACTGAAGTGATGTAAGAGTGGACAAATAAATAAGTCGATGAGCGACAGAACTGATGAATGACAGAACAAGTGGTGCATAGAAGCCCGAGCGATTCCAGTCTAGAGAGGTTGGCCAATCATCGAGGCCTTTTGCGTGTGACAAAGATGAGGACCCTACGGATGGCGATGAGGCGGTCCTTGAGGGAGGTCATGGCCAGGATGGTGAGCTGGGCTCGATTCTCCAGTGGAAGGACTGCAAGCAGCCACCAGCTCCAGGCTGGACCACTGGGACTGGCCTGCAGGAGAGAAACAATTTGGTTTTACATAAAACATCCACAAGTGACACTGCTTCAGAAAACACACATCCTTCAGGAATCTTTCTTGTTTTTAAACATTACATTCCAAGAGCCTGAATGCACCCCCTCTTTAAGTGCTCAGCCTTGTAAGTGAGGCCACGTTGGATGGTTACCACTTATTAATGAAAGTGGCGTTTATCAGTTTTATCACATTAACACTGAATGGAATAAAATGAGAAACTAGTTCTGGGGAGTTTAAGTTGACCAACACAGACTTGAAAGGACTGAAATCACATTTATAAGGTGGCCACAAATGTGATTTCAAATAAATGGTAATCTTTTGCTGTGATGACTGCATCTGCAAATACATCACAGCTTGCTAACATATTAGAAAGCCAGCTTTCTTCCAGTATCAGAACAATCTCTCAACATGCATGGTGCTCTTTCCTGTCTTCATTAGAGAAGTGGAGGCATAGAACTCATTTCTGATGCGTCTTATCAAGTTTGTATCGCCTACAGGACTCTGTACGTCTGTTCACTACTCACTACCACAGTGAGACCTAGAACTGCAAAAGATTTCCACTTTAACAACCACATGGTATAATTATACTTCAATCACAGCAGTCTTGGCTACCCAGCTATTTTGAGCAGTAACTAGCATCATTTGGAATGTTGCACAAATTTCACCTTCACCAAACTGACATGAATTTGAACTTGGTGGACTTTTATTCCTTTCCTTCCTTCAACATTGTGTTTTCAGATAATGCTAATAATGTTTCAGGGGACATCAGTCACCTCCTTTAAATCTGTAGTAGTCAGCGCTAAAACAACAGTGACACTCTACTACAACCTGTGGGTTGGGGTCTTTGCTGGGAAGGTGGCCGAAGTGGCTGAGTATCTGGCTCTTCATGTTGTCTTTCAGCGAGGTGAACCAGTTGTTAGCCTGCTCATACACAGAGTCGTGCAGCTTCAGAAGCTCCACCAGCTCCTCTCCCTCCACCTGATTGGACAAGTTGGATTTTACAAAAACCAGTGATCAGAGAAAAGATGGCAGCGTTTGAAATCATTCCAATTACACAAACCTTGACCTGACAGAAAAGAGAATGATTAGAATACATAATTATTAACATCAACAACTTTATTGCAGGACTGAGTTTGCCCGTAGCACAGAAGAGCACAGCTTTCCTCCCCACTGCTGGCTTCATGCAAAAACCCTGAGTTCTACTTTGTGTGACATTTGTTTGCCAGCAGCATGATGGAAAGTGCCTGAAATGGCCTCCTCTGACAACACAGCTGCACAGCCTTCCTCTGAGCCTACCTTCTTGTCTTCCAGGTACTCTATCTTGGCGGTGTTGTAGCCATCTCTCTGACTGTGGCTGAGGACCTTGAACCGTGACACACCGATGGTGTCGACCACTGAGCGGCCATCAGGAAAGAACTTAACATCCCGTACCTGAAACACAGTTTAACTTGTATTTACATCGACTGAATCCGTTACTTGACAGCAAACAGCAGAGAAAATCCATGAGGAAGGACAATAAGCAGATGAGTGACATCCTGACACAAACACACTCACCTGCAGCATGCAGCCATAGTCGGCGAAACCTTTGAGCTCATCAGCTATGCACATGCCGAACTGCCTGGTACCGGTTTCCATGGATCGGCGGATCATGAGGCGGTAGCGAGGCTCAAACACGTGCAGTGGGCAGGGGATGGTGGGGAAGGCCATTGTGCACACAAAGATGGGCACTTCCTGGTTCAAGCTGCAAGAGACACAGTGAAGAGACTGCTGTGTGCCTCAAGGTTTTAGAAATCAAAACACAATTTTAAGGCTTTTCAAGATGTGCAAGTGTGAAAAACTGACTTCGACAGCTCCTTCATCTCCTCTTCGTGGATTTTCCTCCGCTCTGCTAGCTCAACTGCAAAGTAACATAGCAGGACTTCCTCCATCAGCAGGGTCTTGCTGTAACCTCTGGTGGCCAGATACTGCAGAGACAACATGCAAACCCCATAAACATGCTATTTATTATGTGCCATTATCTCATATGAAAGTTTGACATTTCACAACCTGAAACCAGAGGAATGTTGGTCTTTATGTATAAAATACCACAACAATTAATTATAAAAACCATTTCTGCCATTTTCTGCCAGTCTACTAACTGGACATAAAACATGTTGTTTCAGCTCTATACAACAAACAACACTGCCAATGTTATTCATAAAGTGCTGAAAGCCTGTCTGACATATTTGACTGAATAAAATATGTGAGTGTACCTCAGACAGATTCTCCTTGCACAGGGGGCAGTTGGGGTTGTGGTCCAGGCAGCGCTCCAGGCATTTGAGGCAGAAGGTGTGTCCGCAGGGTGTGGCCACGGGTTCATAGAACAATCTGGACAACAAATGACCAGATTGCTGTCAGTGATATCGCGGCTGCATGTATCACATGCTGATATATGTGTTGATAGAACAGATTTCATTCAGATTAGATAAGGAATAGTTTATATTTGTACTCTGTCTCCTGGTTGTTGTCAAAATTGGTGATGTTTATGCATGCAGCTTGTGCTGTGTTGCCATTTCAGACTGTTTGGTGATGTTTATGCATGCAGCTTGTGCCGTGTTGCCATTTCAGACTGATTATTTGCACACACAGCTCCCATGTAGCATACATTCTCTGTCATTATATTGTGTTCTTGTTGTATTTTTCATTGTGCTCCTTTCATCAGCTGTTTTAAAGTGCCTTAGATTTTGTGTTACCTACGTATCTACTTTATATTTCATTTATATTTTGTGGCATTCATGCAAAGGCAAAGTAAGAATTTCATTGTACAGGGAAACAGGTTTCCTTTCTGTGTATATGACAATAAACGCTTGACTTGTGTCCAGTCACCTCATGCAGAGTGAACACTCCAGGTCTCCACTGTCCAGCAGCTCAGAAGGAACCACCCTCCCTCCACACATCGTGGCTGCCTGGAAGGTGCTCGCCTCATCTGCACAACAAGTCATGACAACATCAGCACACGTTTCCAGGTTGTTCAGCATTTACAGAGGAAAGTCAACAGATTTCTAATTCAAGCTGCAGAAACCATTACAAGAAGCAAATTTAAAAAAAAACAGGTCTACAATGTGTGTGTGTGTCTACTGAAATCATTTACAGTCCATGGTACTGAGTCAGTGGGGGATAAGGGATAAAGCAGTATAGGGCTGGATCAACTTAATAATACACTTACTGATCAAAGAGATATCTGATACTACTAGTTCCAATTCTTTTGATCTGCATCGACAAATGACAGTGTAAGGCCTTCCTGTCTTCACTGGGTCACTACTAAAGATTGTCTACATGATTAATTCTGAATTGTATTTTTGTTGGCTTGTTCATGTGCTTCTTTAAATCCTGATATTTCCCACTTGACTCAAAAACAAAAGAATAAGACAGAAAAGCATATAGTGATTGGACCAGCCACTACTTATTTTACTAAAGGGATTACAGTGAAAAACCTTGTTAGCTTTACTGGTTTTATCATCTATTGATAACTAGCAGAAAAATAATTGGTGGTTTTAATATAAAGTGAACCAATCATTTTAAATTTCATTTAAATTGACACTCAGGCTCTCCCACCAGGTCTGTACAGTTTGAAGGGAGGGTTGAAATTTTCTAAGAGTCCATCGCTGCTGTGTTTCCTCTTAAGGCCACCAGGGGGTGCTGGCAGTGCATTCAGAACACCAGCCAGGCTCTTGGTGCTGCCCTCCCCTGCAGCGGGATCCGATTTAGTGGGAGTCAGAACTGAGAGTCTGGAGGACGGGTCATCAATTGGAGCACTTTTACGCACACTGAGCTCTGAGTCCTAAACACACAGACAGCCAGAAAGATTAGAGTTTAGCTGTGTCAGAGCGGGACACGGCCACAGTTTGGGCCAGTGCACCACTGCTCAGAACTGCAGTCGAAGTATAAACATACCTATATCTCAAATGACATCACGATGTATTTTGCCTAAGACCATGTAATTTCACAAATGTGCCCTTCAATGTCTTTCCGCTACACAAAAGTGTTTTGGGTCACCGGCTGATAATAATAATAATAATAATAATAATAATTAAGGTGAGTGTATTGGTGCTTGCTTGGATGTTTTGAATATGTTGAATGGTGTGGAAGAAGATATGAACCAGAATGGTAATATAGTAGTCGTTGTTGCAGCAGTTGTACAGGTAAAGTAATATAGTGAGTAAGATAGCAGGCCGAAGTTAGCAGACAATAAAGCTCAAGATAATTCATATTAACTGTTAAGTTAAAAAGTTACACCATGTTTACACTGAGGCATGTGAACGCTGAATCATTTTTACAAGCTATTAGCCGCTTAGTTAGCCGCCTTAGGCTCCAGCTTCGGCCTGCTAACGGCTAGCCGACGCAGCTCCGTTTCAAAATAAAGCGAATTATTATTCATGGGTAAAATTACTGCAGTTCTCTCACACTCTACACAGCGGGCAATTCAGCTGTAAGCTATTGGAAATAATTAATATGTTGTGTTGTGTGTTTTGTGACTGTAGGCAGGACATAATAGTTGAAATAGCTTCTATGCTATTGAGATGTCAGAGCTGGAATAGATATTAGGCTAGTTTGGATACCAGCACATACAGTGCCTTGCGAAAGTATTCGGCCCCCTTGAACTTTGCGACCTTTTGCCACATTTCAGGCTTCAAACATAAAGATATAAAACTGTAATTTTTTGGGAAGAATCAACAACAAGTGGGACACAACCATGAAGTGGAACGAAATTTATTGGATATGTCAAACTTTTTTAACAAATAAAAAACTGAAAAACTGGGCGTGCAAAATTATTCAGCCCCCTTAAGTTAATACTTTGTAGCGCCACCTTTTGCTGCGATTACAGCTGTAAGTCGCTTGGGGTATGTCTCTATCAGTTTTGCACATCGAGAGACGGAAATTTTTGCCCATTCCTCCTTGCAAAACAGCTCAAGCTCAGTGAGGTTGGATGGAGAGCATTTGTGAACAGCAGTTTTCAGTTCTTTCCACAGATTCTCGATTGGATTCAGGTCTGGACTTTGACTTGGCCATTCTAACACCTGGATATGTTTATTTGTGAACCATTCCATTGTAGATTTTGCTTTATGTTTTGGATCAGTGTCTTGTTGGAAGACAAATCTCCGTCCCAGTCTCAGGTCTTTTGCAGACTAAATATTTTCAGTAAGATGTGCTTAGATAAGAGCAGCAAGACTATTAATTTCACTGAGTAACTGACTTGAGAGAGATGCCAACATTTTTTTTTATTAAACTAAATGAAATTAAAAACAAGGTTGTGGGACAAATGTCCTTTCTCACAGATAAACACAGCGGCCTCAGTGGCTGAAATACGTTTGTGTGTGTGTCGTAACCTGTGAGGAGGAGCCAGGTCTCTGTGTGGGCGGACTCAGGGATCTGAGAAAGGTGGGGGGTTTGATCAGGCGAGTGGCCAACCCCCCTTGCAGAGGATACAGTGGCGTAGGTATGTCTTCATTCTCGAACACAGAAGAAAACAGCTCACCAAGGATCTGGAGGACAAAACACAGCCAGGCACTCCGTTAATGCCCACAGTCCCCAGACAGAAGTAAACACGAGCCCTTTTCACAGATGGGACAGTAGCATCCATCTGTTAAAGGGACTTCTTTCTGTTATTCAGACCTAGATCACTTTTCCATTAATGTTCCTTGTATCTTCATTAAGACATACCCACATCAATGATGTGGAGGCCCACGGTGCACGTGCAAGACTGGACAGTACATCAAATGATGAGTAATATGTAAGGCCAGAGTTTTCTTACCACAACATGGTGGACAAATGTAATACAGCCATAGCCCAGGAGAACTTTTAGTGAGCGGAGCAACTCACAAAGATGCACGACAAACGTGCAGACAACCACACACTTGATTGGTAGAACCTCCAAATTGGTTCAGACCTCGATCTCTTTAGTTCATACCACATTTTTTGTGTTTATTTTTTTTAGTGGTGGTGGGAACAACTGATTGGATTTCAGTGCTGAGCCGTCACATAAATTGGGTACATGACATTAAAAACATCTGCAAGAATCTTTTCTATGTATATTTCTATGTTCAGCCACATGACGTCTCCCCACAGGTCAGGAGACCTGCAGAAACCAGTACATCTAGTGTGTTCTACAAGTCTGTACTTAGGCAGTAGATAAATCAGTGTATTTTCTTTCCCCTAAGACGTCAGTTTATTTCATCAAATACTGTACATGTCTTTTACTCAGATGATCCATATCATTTAATGTTCTGCTTGCCATGATTTTTATTCATTATTTTTGGGGTTTTCTCTTTGAGGGGGGTGTAACCAGGCAGGTCTCATAACATTGTCATTTATCTGAACAATGAAGTTTCAACAAAACCTATTAGATTAATGGATGTTTCGCTTTTTTGTTCGTTTGTTTTTGCTGTCAGTTCTGTTTTCATTAGAAATACTGGAACAACAACAACAACAACAACAACAACTCTTTTTACCTTCTGAGCCTCCAGTTTGACTTTGGTCCAGTCAGGTTTTAGTGCAACACACATGAAGTACTCCTGCAGGGCCTCATCATTGCGACCTGCTTTACGCAGCGCTGTGGCTTTCAGATAGTGGGCCTGAAACAAGCAAACCAAAGTGAGAATACTGGAACAACGTATTTTCTCCTACGTGTAAAAAAAGACACCTGTTCTTGTCAAGTGGTGCTTTTTTAATGAGATTTGTTGTGATGGATCAGTATCTCTCTAACTGCATTTTATTAGAACACCACCCTCTTGGTTTGTTTCTGTTTAGTAACTTGGTCTGATTTACTTCACTGACAGGAACTCATAGGGCCGGGGGTATCTGTCCTTGACTTTGAGGCCAGTTCCTGAATGATCACTCTTTTTTTTTCTTTTTTTTTTTAAACTAATTTTAGCAAAAAAACAAACAAAAAAAACCATACATTACACATTTTAGTACAGATCACTTTTATTTTTCAATTCTTTGGCATTTCTATGCACTGAAAGTGTTAAAATAACATAAAAAGTAAACCTATTTACCACAACCTTAAGTTCTGTTGGCATTAACACCAATAAATAAAAACATAGAAAAACACTCTGATTGTATTGAGGTAATTCGGTCGATGCCATAAAAATATCGAGCTCAAAAATGAAAACATTACCCAACTTCAGTACGTCTTAGTGACATGAAAAGTCAGAAATGAAAAACATTTCTGCAAAGCTGATGCTGTCATTGGTTGATCAGTTACATACTCCAACTATTAAATACGACCTGCAGAGAGAATACATGTCAAGAAACACATCATATTCAAGCTATAAGATGTGGCTTCTTGCTCTTTATTGTAAACACTGACTTATAATGAATTGACCAAGTCTTCAAAAGTAAAGGCAATAGTCTCAAAAACATTTTAGACTGTTGCATTACCACCCACTCACCATCCCCCTGTAACAGGCAAATACACAGTATGACGACGATGAGGCTTAACTTCAGTATAAATTCATAATCTGGTTAATTTTATGTGCAGACTGGGGGCCATTGGACAACATAAGATACTTTAGAAAGACATGTTTCATATTCTGTCTTCACTAGTGTCCACTCCAATTACTATTCTAAATGAAAAAGTCAAAACCAAAACCATGAATGGAAACAGTTCTTTGCAGCTCATTGAGTAGCTTCGGTTTTTAACAATAATTCAGTTAGATCTTTTTTCCTGACTCAAATAAATGAAGCTAACCACTAGATCCATTTCAAACTTTTCTCACCTTTGTCCACAGAGGTTTGATCCTACAGAGGCTGTTGGCATCTTGCACTGCCTGCCTGAAGTTCCTCATCTCCATGTGCAGCTCAGCCCGCTGATGCAGCAGTCGGCCTGAAGAGGGCACTGTATACCACGGGAAAAACACACCCATCAGGTCGCTGGTTAGAAAGTGAAGGGATTGGTAGCTTTTTCTAGGTCTAGCAAAAGTAGGGCAACAATATGTAACATGTTGCACACCAGACCTATTTCAAGAGAACACAATTTGCGCAGTGATAATAACTGACATCAGACGTGTCAGTGGATATTTCCAGTTAGTCTGCTCTTCTAATAGAACAGTCAATGCATGACTACATTATCAACCAGGTTTGTGTTGGATTTTTGACACATGTTCCACCCTGACTGCCTTCATTGTTTTCTTTCTCAAGAAGCGGGAAGTTACTTTAATCAGATACTGCCTGTATCCGTATGAAACCTTCTCGTGTCACCTGGGAGAGTTCAACTTATCTTACACTCAACTTTAAAATAGAATGTCTACAATCACAATAAATAAAAACAATGTTAATCAAAATCGCATGAGGCTACAAATAAAGCAGTTGTGCAGAAATTGAGATGTTGTCCAAGTTTGTGTCCTTCTTATCTGACTCAATGTGAGTCACCATCTCCTGGCCTTAGTCCTGCAATTAAACACGTTATATAGCAACTTTTCATTCTTGATACAGGTTTGATTCATTTTCTTATATTCATATGGCTCAAGAATAGAGACTGCACAAACACAGCAGTGACAACATTTCAGAGGAGCTCATAACCAGTATACAACACGCTGTTACCACAGTTTCTTTGTAGCTCCCCAAGTTGATGACTCTTCCTGATTATTGGCCTTCACCACTGGCACTTTTTTGGGTGGAGCTTCAGATTACGAAACCCTTTGGCAAGTAATTTGAGAAGCCATTTTCTAAAGGCTGGATCACTGGTGTCCTCAGAAACTGAACAGAAGGTGAAGACGTTGCTCGGCCTCAGCTGAGTCAGCCGAGACCCAAACGCCAACAGCAGGACCAACAGGCAATATTCACATTCCCAAAATATTGAGCTATAATCAAATTCCTGACAGACGCTTCGTGACACTGCTGAAATAAACGACAATAAATACAGTCTGGAGAGTAGCTGCTTCCATCAGTAAAGTTCAGTAAAGTCTGCATCTGATTTTCCCTGTTCTTTTTCTTAATATGATTTCATGAGCATGGGCTGACAATCTGCTACCTTAGGGCATCAAACAAGGGAAAAATATACATTTTTGACATTTAGGCCAGTTGCTTTTAAGTCTGAAGAAACCTTGTGATTACCTATAATTCTACCAGCTCGGGACACCCCAGACATCGGTTAGAGGGTTACCAGTCTGTGCCTTATATAACGTCAGTCTGCTGTAAAACCTTTGGCCAATGTGAGCATTACAAAGAAAACACACTGCTTCACAGTAAACACTGTTACATACAGTATATTTGATTGTGAGAATGTAAGATGTTTCCTAAGCCTTAAATGTACTGGTGCATAGTTATTTGTTTTAATAAACAGAACTTTGACACATAATAAACTTTTTTTTTTACAGTCTGTTCCACATAGAAACGTACTGTGACACTGATTACAAGATGATTAGATAAAACATTTCTAAATGCACCTGTATTGTTTTGCATTTTGCGACTTTCAGTCGAATAAGAATTTTTACAGTCATACATTTTGTCCTTGAAGATTTCTTAAAAATAGTGTTAAAATATCATTTGGTCTCGGCCTCGTGAACCCAGTATCGTGTATCATCTCGTCTCAGAAGCTAAGTGTATCATCACACCCCTAGTGGTAATGAAATGTTCTCAGAGACTAAACTTTTCTTAGGCAACATGGAAAAATGACACTGTTGTTGTTTGTCAACACTCAAAGTTATGCAAATCCCAACAAGTGGACACTGTTCACTTTCTCAGCTATACTGACGACTGATCGCTCTCCCTGACTAAGGGACCAAAGCAAGAACAAACTTGTTGGAATACCATTTCACTGGATCATGTTGGGCTTGGCGACAGCTCAAATAAACTCAATTCATTTCATCAATCATGCATTTTATTGAGTGCATGTAAACAAAATAAAAAATCTAATTAAAACTGTGAATCATCCATAATACAGTAAATAACTAGCTTTAATGTTTTGGCCATTTCACCCAGTCCTAGTATCATGACCACAACACAACACTGGGCCAACTATGATGTACAGGAGAATGCAGTTCTTCAAGCTGGATGTGTTTTCACCTAGAAGATGGATGACTGACATTCTCATGGCTTCTCAACACAAAAAGCAGTCACACCTGGATTTGTTACTGTTTCTAAACCATGTTTGTCCCTACTTCAGTTCTACCTTTGTCTGCTTTCTCCATCCTAAACAGATTAACTGCCCATTTTTATTTAAAAGTTATTTCTTTAAATAGAAACTACTTACAAAAACTTAGCCTCACGTACCTTCGCTTTGGCTGTGCTATCTTGCCAAACATACTGAACTCTCTTCCTAAGCAGCCAGAATTGCAGCTGTCTGTTTCTCTCCCTCACACACAATAGATCAATTGTACTACATCATTATATCACTTTCATTGTGTAAGTGTGATGGACAAGACACAGATAAACCTCAAGGGGGAAAAACTGTAGCCTAAAAGGCACAGGTTGGATAACAGCTGTATTAACAGCTGACATCATGAGTCCATTATGCTCCTCCTGCACAACAGATACCAGACGGCCTCTTGCTGCATTTGTTGGGAAAACACTGACTGGCGAGTAATAAAGCTGTGAAAGCACTCTGTCCTTCTGTCACCCAGAGCCCTTCACAAGACAGATGGCATGAATCAATATTGATCTGAGGAGAGAAACATCTGAAAAGGTGCCATTTGATGCTCCAAATGACAAAAAAACTGGTGTATGCTCCTTTGACGCGACACATTCATTTTCAATCGATCGACTTGCTAGTGCCTAGTTTCACCCATTAAGTGATTCAAGGATGAACGGAGATACACTTTTAATATACTCTGCTCTAATACGTAGGCTCGAGGTGAGAAGATATCGGTTCAGCTTCCTCTGAGGAGTCAAACTGTGCAACGTGAGACTTGGCCTGGCCCACACATGCTGGCACGCTTCACAAGATGTGGCAACAGAACAGAACATCTTGTATTTTAGATCAGCAGGTTCACAGGAACAGCTGCTTAAAGTGACAACAGCCCCAAAGCTGAAGCATAAGAAAGAGGAACCTTAAAGAACAAGGTCGGCCATTGTTGACATTAATGGTATTTCCAACAATCCTAACAATAATAATAAAACTAACTGTGAAATGTCTCTACTCATGTTTAACGTCCGTCTGTTTGGGGATTTGTGAAAATACTATTAATACAGAAAATAGTCAACCTTTGTTAAACTAAGTTGTCATTTTATTTTTGTGGTATACAAGTCACAGTGTATTACCATCACTTTTCCCTGAATGTTATCAAACACAACTTACGAAACTTCACCAGTAAGGGGAGGGGTAAGGCTAAAGTACAACTCGGTCTGTTGCAACTAAGGAATGTATTCATGCAGTATGTGAACATTATGTAAATAAATACAATATTTGGGGATAAAACAAAGGAGAATAACTAAATGGGCCATCATCAACAGCAGAATATAGGTTATACAGATAACAGTGTGGGAAAGTATGAAGTCAGATGTGCTGCTTTGGTGCATCATGTAACACCTGACCTCAGTGTTGTCTACATGTGGCGCCGCCTATCGGTGACACTGGGAAGCTGGGAAAAGTAGGTCACTTACACAAACCACTGTACTTGTAGACTTTTTGCCAAAATTAACACACAAAGTGGCACATTAAGTAACTTTCGTGGCAGACACGAAGGTTTGGCTCGCTTACCTAGATCCACTGCTGCATCATACTTCTCCAAGGCATCCGACAGGTTCTGCGTTTTCCACAAAACCTCTCCTTCAATCCACAACTTCCTGGCTTTACTCTCAGTGGCAAATAATTTATCCAACAGTCCGCTGAGAACAACGTTTAACCTCAGGCCGTTTTTGTTCAACTGTTGTTTGCACTGTACACAGCTGTTGACGGAGTCGTCGTCCAAGCAGCATTTGCAGAAAGTGTGTCCGCACTCCACAGTTGTGGGCTCGTGGAGCAGACACTTGCAGAGACGACAGGAAAACAAATCCAGTGCTTCATCATCGTCACTCTCCCCGTTACTTTCTATCGCATCTTCCCCACTACTGCTTTTAACGTGCACGTTTAAAGTCCCGGTTATGTACGGCTCTTTCTCACGGAGAGTCCGGGCGATGGTTTCCACCAGGAGGGGAAGCTCCTCTGGGCGCAACTTGCCGATGCTGGCCGCTGTGCAGTACGAGTCCAGCGCCTCAGATATGCGTCCAGCGCGGGCCAGAGAGTCGGCCTTCCTCAGGCACAAGCCCCTGTCCGGCTGCTGGAGGTCTGCGAGCTGGGAGCTGTAGATCTCCACGGCCAGGTTAAAGTCCCCAGCCCGGTTGGCTTCTTCTGCCACCTCCAGCATTTCGGGGCAGATCCCCGCAGCCCCGGGGTTGGAGAGTGGGTGGACGTATAGCTCGCCCTGGTGAGACCTTATTCCCGTCTCCATCTTCTTCTCCATAAAGGGAAATCAGATGTTTAGACGGCGAAAAGGTTCACAGAGGCCGGGAAACGCACAACTCAAAAATCATTTAACGTATCATTTAAAGTCTTGGTGTCAAACTCAACCTGCGATTGTGCCCGACTTTCACTGCTGGCCATTGGAAGTAGGTTAGGACAAATTCCGAGTCATACAACCTGAACCCCGATGAAACAGGACGTGTGTGTAACATTGCCGGTCCGTGTTAAAGTCCCACAAACAGTCAACTGTGCCCTCTCCAGGAATAACATCAGCAGTGGATGCGATTTCCCATCAAACACCGGCAATGGCTTCGTGGGGGTGGAAGGTCGGTGTCATTTACCGATTTACCTCCCGCCTACAAACTAAAACTTTTCAGAAATCATACGAAACGCATTCTGCTGTAGTTGAATGTTTTAGTCGAGAGCCGACAGGTAAACATCCTCCCAGCTTAGCAAGTAAGAAGCTTAATTTCCATTTGGTATATCTTACTAACCTACCCTTAAATTACTAGAGAAACTCAAAAGGGGGCATGTTTGGGGTTTAAATAGTTTACAGTGTATGGAATTCCAGGACAAATGGATAATATCTTAGCTACAGACCCTTCAGCTCTTCTCTTCACCTGTGAAGCACAACCGATGAAACGTTGTTTTTATGTAAGACCCCTCGCGCACTGAAGCCGAGAGCTGCGTTAGCTAATGTTACAGTCAGTTACCTCGTTGCAGCTCGTTAAACTCCACCAATTAACTGTTTTCAACCCGATATCCCAAAAACCGTATATTTTAACGTATCCAGGTGTTGTGTCTTTTTCCTAAAAGGTGAGAAAACGCGGATGAAACTAAAGTAGCCACTGCTCGCTAGCTCCATCTCGATCCCTAGCCAGCTAGCTTCTTAGCAAAGGTTGTTGCTTCTTTGGACTTCACAGACAATATCGCTGAAGTGAACGCCGGGCATCACGTGACTCACGAGGCGAGCTTCCATTGGTTCATTATATGGCTCACTTATATAACGCGATGATATTGTATAACCTTTTTAGATGACGGCGAACCAAACAAGCACACAGTTATTTGTTTTAACAGGGTTTCACACGTGATATCACAACAAGATGCCCCTTAGGGCTTCTGTCTGACTTTCCTGATTACTTTTTTCATGTTTAACTCGGTTCCGGCTGTCAGATTGATCCAGTGTTTATGTAATGCTCTATATAAGCGGTATCTCAGTTATGTTGTTTGGAGTCAAACATGCTAAAAGCATAGCACATTTCAGACTTACCATTTTAGCCAAAACGAAAATAAAAAGTGGCCTGGTCCCAGACTTCTTAATCAGGAGGACCAGACAGTGGCACCATTCAAGATCAAGAGCTGTGACCCAGTTCGGGGACTGGAGCTGTCCTCGGGACCTGGGCCCCTAAAGAAGGACTGTGCCTAGTTCGCTCCTTTGGGCAGATGTTAGCCTTCCACTGAGCAACGACATGGTTGGCCTCAGCTAGCAGACTCTGACCTGAGCAAAAGTTGTAGACACCAAAAGTAAAGCGAGAATACGTAAAAATAATGCCACAAATAGTTTTTATTCAACAATTAACTTTGTACAAGGTGCCTCACTAATGGGAAGCAAAGATCTAAAGTGTCTACAACTTTTGCACAGTCATGTGCATATGTTTAGATATGTTGTTCTTATTTACAAACTCTGATTCCCAGAGTATACAATGTGGAAAAACCAAAGTTTTATCCATAACAGTTAGTATCTTCCCCAGAGTTAACATTGTGAATTAGGAATTCAGGTCCTTACTTACAGGTCTGCCGAGAGCCCGTAAGCCTCTAAATCCACCCCACATGCCCCATCTTCCAAAATGAAGCAGTGCAGCTGCAAAACCTGTTTTCATTTATAGTAAGTATCCTAAATTTATTTGCTTTTTGATTGAGTTGTTGAGTAAATGTGGACAGTGGTGAGAAACCTCCAGGAACATCTCAGGGAAAAAGAAATAATGAAGTGTTTGGGAAAACATGATTTCTCTTGTCTTTAATGTTACATATTTTTATTTAATCTTCATTATATATAGCTGTATGTATAGCTGCCCAAATTCTATGCAGATTAGCACATTTACTTAATAGAATTAGAAATAGAGTATGGAACTAGGGCACAGCGCAAATGGCAGGCAAACTGCATTTTTGGGGTTTCCATTCTGGTGCTTACAAAAATGTACATTTAAAACATGTCTTTCCAAAGGTAGCACCCAGTTACCTTCAATAACAGACCTCACTGGTTTCATAGCAACTTTTTTTTTTTTTTTTTTGGCAGAGTGCAATTCAAATGATAAATGTTAGCAGCGAAACCTGTGGATCATGCATAGTAACCAGAACACTCATCCTGAAAATATGCCACTGTAGAAGCAACACAGTCTGAACTTATTGTTCCTCACTGTATTTGAGAGGAGGCATCGACATATATATCTGAACCTAGGCCAATGAATCTGAATCTATTTGCATGGATAGATGTGACTAGAGACACATAGAAAATAGATCTTGTTGGAACTTGGGTCAAGAAACCCTTTAAGTTGCTTCTACTAGGAGATTTCACAGCTAACATTGAGAAGTATTCATTGTATTTCATTGAAACATTTTACATGTATCACTGGTAAAGATATATTCTCAGTACAGAGCATCTCCAACAAAACTTTCCTCCTAATAATAGAATAATTAGATAGTTGTATAAGGATGACACGAGCCTCTGCAACTCATTTGTCCAGAGTGTCGTAAAACCACTGCTGTTCTGTCTGTTCAACATGTCCATGTTATGAAGGAAGTGTATGTGTATTCTTGTTGTGCATGTGATGATGGAGTGTTGTAACAAAAATAAGAGGTAGGTCTAACAAGATAAGACATGGAGTAATATGACCTGCACAGTATGCAAACACACACCTCATGCAACAACAGCAATTGCTTGATAGTGTGATAGTGAGTACTGTGTCATTGTCCATTTTTCAGGACTTGCATTGGCTTATACCACAGTTTATAACCTTATGAAACAGGCTGACCCACATTTTAAACATTTCTTCTTGGTGTTGTGTAATTTCTTGACAGATCTCATAATCGAAATAAAAATACTGGTACATTTCCTTGTCAAAGCCTGTCAGTAAAGGGTGTCAGCACACAAGGTGACAATAATGAATCATTTCCTTTCCATTGCGCAACCAAGCATATTGCGAGGAACCAGAAATAGGCTCAGTTCATTTTGTTCAGTGTTCTAAATTAGTATCACAGTATGAAAGACTGACTGCCCATAGAGGCTTAGAAGGTGTTAAAAGAGAGGCTTTAGTCAGCCAGTCAGCTTAAATTCCTAACAGTTAAAATACCGGAACCATACCAGAAAATTCCCCAAACCACTCCTTCCCTCGTCCACTTCTTCACTGTTGATCCTCACTTTGTTTAAACACTCATGTTCTGCAGGTGTAACCACAACAGTGGTATCTAGTTCATAGATAGAAAAAGCTTCATTCATCCCCAAAGGGAAATTCAACTGTCCAGCAGCTCATAAAAGACAACCACACACACTCACCAACAATAAAATAATAATATTAAAATAAACATATCATTTAATTAAAGAAGAAAGAAGAGACAGCATTGTTATTCTAATAATACTAGTGCAAACATTACTGTTCGTGGAAGCTGTCCTCATAGGACAGATTCTAAAATTCAAATGTGCACATCCTTTGGCTAAAGAGGTCGGTTCATGATTTACAGCAAATTTAGGTTGAACCTCCGCAGAGATATATATCATGTCAGACTACGTCCACTAGATGGTGACATTGGCTGATTGATGGAGGACTTGGCTGCATCCAAACAATGTCACTGTAAACATTCAGTGTATTGGGAAATATTTTATTCCAAACACAACAACATTAAAAACAAGAATCCCAGCAGTCACTAGTTTCACGTTTGCAATCTAAAATGTTCATTTTTGTGCTCAGTCAATGTGTCTGCACAACTCCATGTTTAACACCTGATGTCTTAATCCCTGGGGTAATCCCAGTGCTCACATGAGGTTCTTCTGTTGGACTCTAATCCTCAGGATTCCCACAGAAGTCACTGCAGCAACAAGCCTCAGCTGCATGACTCGTGGCAAAACAGCCAGCATTTCAATACACCCAGTGAGTGGTGGGTGTGGCACTGTATGGAGACAGGTCCACTGGCCATCACTATGATATACAGAGTAAAAAAAAACCCTGGGATCTTCTTGATTTGTAAGGTTTTGTGGTCGGTGAGGCTGAAGCTGCAGAATGACTGAAGTAAATAAATAACTAAACAGAGCTAAGGCAAATAGGCCAATCATGAGTGTGGGTGTAAATACTAGATACTGTGAATTACGGTAAAACTGTTCTTACACTCTTTTACCATGTCCTTTCAAATGAAAAGATTATGAGCTCCCCTGTTATTTTTCCACCTACACTGTTGCCCTTTACAACACAAAGACATTAATAAGAAACGCTGCTTCCAACGATATGTTTTTCTTTTGTGGTCAGTTAGTGAACAATTGCTGCAGGATGTGAGGTGGACTTGAAATGATGTAGCTGATGTTTTATTGATTTTGTTGGTTGCTTTGAAATCAAGAAGACAGGGAGGGAGGAAGTGCAGAGTATTAAAGAAGCTGGCAGGGTTGTTTTTATGTGATTAGCCAAGCAGCAACACGTGAGAGCTGGCTCTGCTGTCCTGGGTGATGGTCAGATGACCTGCAGACACATCCAAGAATAGGCTGGGTCTCAATTGTTTCCTTAAGATACTGTATCCCAGGGTTTTCAGTGCTTCATTGTACTGTGTGCCATTCCCAATGACACACAGGCTGGGCAGAAGCAGCACTTTAAGACATTACAAAACAGAAAACAGTGACATTTTCACTAAAACAAATGGTCTGTGGAAGCAATGCAGTTTCCTTTTTATACAAATATCCTACACAATGGCAATTCAAGCTTCTTTACAAACGGCATAAAAGATGCACCACAGAATAAAACAAGATTATTGTGGCGTACTGCAGTTGTAAGAACCCATCTGTCAATCAAACTGTGGGCTATGAAGTCTTAGAGCAAGCAGAGCTAGAAAGGAGAAAAACAAACTTTATATGACAGTGATGCAAACTATCACTTTAAATATATTGTAAATATAGTTATTGGTTATTGTGGTCCATTTTCTTTCTGTTGTCTGTGGATATAACTGAAAGTCTGATCTATGTTTCACAAGGAAGTCGATTTCTTTTCTTCAGGAAGTGTTTTGTTTTGTTTTTGAATCAGTTAAACTGCAACAGTGACTTGTCTCTTCTCATGGATACTCACTCTGGTCTGTACTCATCCAGTGAATGTTCCTCTTTTGCCAACAATATCAACTAGCAGTAACAGTTGTATAACTGAAACGCTTGGCCTCCCTATGATCCATCTCTGCCAAGTGCACATCCCTCATCACGAGCACATGGCTCCAGTACCATTCAATAAAAACACACACGTCCAGACTGCTACCTGCCAGGCCATTTGCAACAGGAGGACACACACACACACAATTACAGCACCACCTGTGCTCCAGTGTGTAGTAGCTAGTGTGGCTGGCATCAGTGGGAGTAAATAATAAGAGCGGTCAGCAGCGACACGTGAGGGCTCCTTCTGCTGGCCCTCACACATGCAGCAGGGAGGGGTGTGCAGCGCAAGCTGTGGTTGCTATGGTGCATGTGTGAGTTACACACACACACACACACACACACACACACTGAGCTGAGGCGATAAAACATTTCCTCACTCACTTTTCTATCTACCAACATCCTTCAATAATTTGAACAATGGCATTAAAATGCTGCAGACTCCACTGGTGTCGTTCCCATTTCCTATTATTCACATGGAAAGGTAATAACTATATAGTAACACACAGTATAGCTGAGATGTTATTTCTTTGTCCAATAAAAAAAGCTTTCGC